TGGTCAATGAACTCGTCCATGCGGCTGAACGGGGGATTGAGCCAAACATGGTGGCCCGCCAGAGACTCCCGAAGGAAATCCCGGGTGGGGGAGCAGAAGTTCGGGACCATGGCATTATGGCCAAGGGGATCGGCGCAGGCGTCAAGAGTGAAAGCCCGGCCCACCCGCTGAGCGATGCGTACAAATTCAGGGCGCAAGATGGCACGATCCTCGCGATTCCACCAATCCCGGCGAGCCGGAGAGGATCCGGGCGAGGGAGCCGAGGCTGACACAGGGCGCGGGGGAGGGGAGGAGGGGCGGGCCGCACAACCTGAGCGAGGGCGGCGGTGGGTGAGCAGATCAGATTGGATCAAGCGCCAGGGCCGAGCAGCGGCCGCAGGAGGCGCGCCGGGAACGAGCGCCGTAAGGAGAGGCAGAGCGCGCAAGGCGGGAGGGAAACGCAGGGGATCGGATCCCGACGGTCCGGTCCAAGGAGGAGGGGCCACCGAGGACACAAGTGTCGCGAGGGGAGGCGAGGAGGCAGAACCCGAATTACCCAAAGGGGATACGGCCCCCAAGGGGGAGAGGGAGGCCAAAGCAGGAGCCAATCCCGGGGTGGCAGGGGAGCCAACATGGCCCGAAGAGATGGCCGCGGAGGAGGAGAGCGGGATCAAACGCGACACAAGATCGAGAAGGGGGGGAGACGATACCGGACCCCCGAGAGACGGGGATGGAGGTACGGAACAGGACGGAAGAGGGGCCAAGGGAGGCAGCGGGGGAAGCGACAAAGAAGCAAGCGCCCCCCGAGGATCCGTCGCAGAACAGCAAGGCAAGAGAGGGGGATCAAAGAGTCCCGAGGAGGCAGCAGGCGGGGGAGGGGCAGAAGGCGGGCCCATGCTCAACAGAGGTGCCACAAGCCCAAGGGGGACAGATAATCGGGAGCACCAGTGAGTAAAGGCAGGAAGACTCACCAGCCAGTCCGGAGGGGGCAGGCGGCGACGGTGGTCCCGCTGGAAGGCGCAGTGAGGCGGGTCGCTCCGCCGGCGGGGCTGGGTATACTCCTCCCAGCACCAGACGCAAGCTCCATGTGGACCCCGGGCACGGGTGGCGAGCCAGAGGGCATGGGGGAGGCGGCCCGCCAGGGGAACACCCTCAGCCGAATCCCCAGGTGGGAGATCGGAACCACGGCGGCTGCGAAGGGGAGGGCGGGAAGGCCCCGCGCCATCAAAGGGGCGCTTGCGCCCCGTCAGGAAACGATCACCTGGTCGGTCACTCACAGACAAAGGACGAACAGAACCCGAACGGCTAGCAATCCGGCCCAGAGCAGGGTCATGATGAATGAAAGACCATAGCAGCTGGCGGAACTGCTGGTGCGACTGGGCCCCCCAAGCCTGGCCCGCAGGGTCGGCCAACAAACGGGCGCGGAGCGGTTCAGGAAGGCCACTGTAAATCCAGAAGATTCGATCAATCTCGGGGACAGCAGCCCCCGCCGCGCCTCGCTCACCGAAAAGCGTGTCCATGCGCGTGAGGAACTCAAAGACGGTGGCCGGGGGCCGGGCCGCCAACTCCTGGATCTGGAGTGTGAGCCCGAGCAGGGTGGGGGGACGCGCGAAAGGACCGCACCGCATCACAGTCTGGGCTTCCTCCCAGGTAGTAGGGGCGGGATGCGCCTGGAGGTGCAGGCGCCAATGAGCCGCCGCGGCCCCCTTGAGGAGGACCGGGAGGAGGTTGATGCGGTAGGCGTCGTCGTGGTCACGGTGGCAGAGGCGGCAGTGGGCGTCGAAGTGGACCAGGAATTGGTCCCAACGATCGCCCTTGGGATCGCCAGAGAAGGTCGGCAAGGAAGGCACCCCCCGAGGCAGGGGAGGGTAGCCGGATGCGCCAGCAAGGGAGCCGCGAGGGTGGGCCTCGAGAGCGGACAGCTGGCCCTGAAGGAATACCACCTGGCGAGAGAGCTCGTCGGTGGACGCCGATCCCAGGGATGGCGGGGCAACCTGTGGGAGAGCAGAGAGGGGCGGCACAGCCAAGGCAGCACCCCGGGATCCAAAACCAGCAGGCAGCACGGCGCCAAGCGGGGGGCCCAGCTGGCTCCCAAGACCGGAGAGCGCCTCCGAGCCCGAGGCGGGTGGGGCCACAGTCAGAGCCGCCACAGAACCCGCCAAGGAGGAGGGAATCGGAGACAAGGTACCCCGGGATCCCGAGCCAGCAGGCAGCAGGGAGCCGATCGGGGGATTCAGCGGGGTCCTAAGATGGGAGAACGCCTCCAATCCCAAGGCGGGTGGGGCCACAGCCAAGGCCGCCACAGAACCCGCCAAGGAGGAGGGAATTGGAGACAATGAATCCGAGAGGGCCCCCCCTTCAGCCGCCGAAAGAATGTGCAGCGGGGCGGTAGGGGTGGGGGCCGTGATCGGACCGGAATTCGGCAAGGGGGGCAGGCGGCTGGAGGGACCCACGCCCGCCAACATTTGCCGGATATGCTCCTCCAAAAATGGCAGGAGCTGCCCGGCCAGATCGTGGGCATTAGGCAGTGCAGGCGGCCCCAAAACAGTGGGGCGAGGGGGCCGGTTCGGACTGCGAGACAGAGCATCGGGCGCCCCAACGATCGGGCGCACCGGCTGGGGCGTACTCGCCCTAGGAGGAATGGAGGTGGGGGGCAGCTCCCCCCCCACCGATTCGAAAATGGTGCCCCCCTCGGCCGAATGGGCCTGGAGGGGCGAGGCGATCGGCTGCGGGGAGAGCACGCCGCCCGGCTGCGCCGCAGAAACGGCCGGTAGTGGCCGATCGTCCCCGTCGCCGCCGATGGGCTGGCTGGAAGTCGCCTCCTCGGACATGGCGATGGCGAGGACTTGAACTCGGCGAAGGCGGCGATCGGAGGGAGGCGGCGCGGCCCTGCAATCGAGGAGGGGGGGCCGCACCGCGAGGGGTGGGTGGGGCGGTCGAAGTCACCGGTTCATGGTAACCCGTTCGAATCAGATAAGCCGGCACAAGCACGGGTGAGAGAGAGCTGCCGGTGCGGGCGCTCGAAGGCCATTAAGCCGGGACCCAGCACCGGACCCCAAGTACTACGTACTTGGGGCCACACCTGAGCGCCGGTACCTGGGGGTACCCCAGGTACCGGTGGCCACCGCCCTAGTGCCGGTCTGTGCACTCTAACCCCTACACTATTGTAACCGTAGCCCTCTTGGGCCGGTTACTGTAGGGGGATTGTCGGTAACCCCGGGTACCGGTTAGTGCGGTACAGACAGAGTTAGATCTGGCATAAAATACTGTATGGCAGAACACGAATTGAGACTTCTGCGGTATTGGAATGCACAGGATTTGTGCACGACACTACGCCGCTCGTATCTAGGCATCAGCGAAACACAGGTCGACTCACCCTTGGTGACTTTGGTGAGAACAATTGTTTACACAGTGCTTAAGCACTTCGTCGATTGCTGCGCTTAAAACCTGCTTTAGGAGTACTCAGAAATATCGTCACGCAACAATACGAAGATTTGCTTCCGAAACACAGAATTTGGGGCAAACTGAAGCTCACAGGAGGTGCATTATGTTAGCCTCCAGGTAGCGCATTTTCATTGCATTTCAAGCATGATTTGCACAGGTTGAACTCCCACATCACTGCGACAAATTGTGCGCACCACATGCATGCATATGTACCATATGAAGTTAAGTGTACTTAAAACGTGTGACTCTTTGTGGTGAACACCAAAGTGCTTCCTAAGCCATTTACGATACAGCATGTGTCCGGGCATGAAAGCGGCGAATGCACAGTCACCATCTGTATCTCTGTCTCTCTGGTCTTTTGCTATTCACTGTTCTTGTATTCCCAATCTGCTTGCTATCGTGTTGAGTGCAGCTTGAAGCCCAATGTTTTGTGTGCCACCCACATCTGCGTGGCTCTCACCATTCAGCTTGCTGCTTATGCTTGCCAGTTTCGTGCGATCCACATTGCTTTCTAGTTCTGTACTTATTGCTCAGGTTGCAAGCGCATATCCTGTGCAATCTCCCCTTCCAGCACAATCGTACCAAGCTAGCAGGAGTGCTACTGACCAGCACCTCAGCTCCGTTGATCTCCAGGCATGAAACTTTGGGCTGCATGCTCTCTGCAGCTTCCTGCACAGAGTGAGTCCAAGCCAGCGAAACTTGGTCGTGCGCGCCGCCAAAATGGGACCCCGTCCAGGACAGGGGGTGTGGGGCTTAGATCAGCGTTTATCTTTGTGTCCAACATGACACTTTTTTCCGAATTAAGTTGAGATGGTCTGCTAGAAACACCAGAAGGGACTCTAAATCCGACAATTTGTACAGTAAAAAACGCTGAAATGCGCCATAATTCGGACAATGATGGGAGGGCGCGGAGGAGTATTGAAGCTCCAGATCATGCAACAATGTCTTAAAATCTTTGCCTTTGCAAGAAGTGAGCGTCGTTCACTTGCTTTGTGTGCCGCTCGTGAACTGCCACCCAGGCTGATGCAGCTGCCCATAAATCGTGCAGATCATCCCCCTTCACCTTGTCAAGGCCACCAAATCCGCAGTCGTCACGAACATTGACGTTGGCAGCCAAAAGACCGTCACCGTCCACCGTGGCGGCCGTGTCCGGCAAATTTTGGCCCAAAGCACCCCAATTCGGACAAGCATCCTCGAAATTGTGAAGAAGCAACCTCAATTGGGACAATGCCAGGGGAGGCTGGCCAAAAAGAAAAGGGATCCGTCGTCACATGACGTCAATAACCATTGGGACGTCTGGCCTCAAGGACCTTGCTTCATCACCTTGGGACGCAACGCCCCGGATGCTGCATTGCCCGCCCACGCGAATCCGCGACGCTGGCGGCAAGCGTCACGCGTCTCGCCCCTCCGCCGTGAGTCTCCAGCGGAGTGCGCCACGTCGCCAGGGCGTCCCCTGCCCTGTCGCCCGCGGTCAGGACCTGTGCGCCGGCAGCGCCCACCGGGAGCCCCGCACCTTTGTGCAGGATACGCGCGGCCGTTCAGCGTCTCTCGAGCGCCGTGCGAGCTGAGGGGCGACCATGCTCCCCACATACACCCCACACAGGTACAGGGGGCGAGGGAATGGCGTCTACTTGGTGCTGATCGTCGTCCTGAGCGTCGCGCTGGTGGCCCAGTTCGTGTACTGGAAGCGCCAGGTGTCAGATCTGGTGCTGGAGGTGGGCGGGGTCCACATGCGGATGGAGAAGCAGGAGAGCACGGCGCGGAGGGTCATGGAGGAGAAGGCGGCATTGGGGAAGCTGAACGAGTTACTACAAGACGGGCTGAACACGTGCGAGGTGAGCGAACGCGCCCTCGAAGATCGGGTTGGGGCGCGTCTGGTACTGTGTCCTTTGCCAAGCGTGTCGCTGCTTGCTCGGGAGCGATTTTTCAATCGGAGACGATGACAACCTGCCGATGCGCCAACAGGTCTTGAGATGTTCCAATTGCTGAGTACAGTGCGCAGCGCCCCACTCGGCGGCAGGAACGTGACGGGCGTCCCTGAAGTTAACGGATTTCAGGCCAGTTGTGTGCGTGGTTCTTTGTGCTGTCAATTTTGTTGAGAAGCGGCGCAGCTGGGCCAGGGAGAATAAAGACGCGGAATGAAAACGCCTTTCAGTAGAATGCAAAATGTCGCGCAAAGGGCGCCTCCCTGTTGAGCAAGCACTGCTTGTGGGACTCGGGCACCACACAGTCGATGCCATTGCCGGAGTCTCTTGCTGCAACAAGAGTAACACGCCGGGCAGGACAGCACAAACTTCAAGAAGGCATGCAAAGGAGGGTGGGGGTTGTTGTTGTGCAGGAGGAAAGGTTCGAGTTTGTTGCAATTGAAAGGCGCATGCAGGACCTGTGCACGCGCACAACAGGCATTTGGCATGTGACCTTCTGGCTGGCACTGCTGGGGTGCTGGTGAACGTATGTTTGTTTGCCTTCATGGTGCCCTTGCCCTCAGACTGAGAAGATGGAGAAAGCGAGTGAGATTGAAGATTTCAGGGTCAAACATGGCACCCTACAAGCAAACTATGATCAACTGCAACGGGAGTGCAAGGAACTAGGAGTACGTGCAGCAGAGGCAGAGGAGCGCACCGCTGACCTAAAGGAGGAGCTTGGGAACCTTCTCAACAACAGCGACGCTGTGACTACTACCACTATCATGGAACCGGTAGAGGTCAAGAACCCTGTCACTGTAGTTGAGATTGGGGATGTGTATGGCACCCCTGAAAGGGTTGACGCTGCAGAGGGCACAGCGGTTCAAACGGGAGGTGTGGATGAGGCATATGCGAATGAGACCATGGAGGCAGCGGCAAAAGTTGCGGATGGAGATGCTCTGGGACTGCTAGAGCAGCTCAACCAGCACCAGGAGCAGCTGGACGAAGAAGAGCAGCAAGAGGTCACAGAAGAGGGGAGTCTGGATGGTGTCATTGAAAATACCGAGGAGTGGTCCCAACAGGAGGGAACTCCAAAGCTGGTACGTCCACCCGACTTGATCGCTACTGGAGGCACTCTGGAAGGGGAGGAGGCTGCAGATGGGACTGACACTGGAAATGAGGAGCAATTGGGCTATGGGTCAGAAGACAATGAAAGCCTCTTGCAAACCACAAAGCGATCTGTGCTGCAGGCCGTGCTGGCTGGCAGAGAGGATTGAGGTGTGCATCAAAAAAGGAATGACACTGCTCAAGACTGTCAGAGGAAGGTATCAGCAGTACTAACCTGTAATGCGAGTTGATCGACAGTTCCCTGCATAGGATATAGTGCCACATTAAGATCAGGCCAGGAACAAAAAGAGAAACAATTGGGCATAATTGTAGAACTGTGAAGACAACGCAAGAATTGCTATGTTGTAGAAATGTTCAATGAAATATCCATGCCCCCAGCACAGAGATTGGCATTCAGGCCTTTGTAAGGGATTTGCTGCAGGCAGCAGATCTCTGTTTGCACTTAGGCGTTTCAGATCGGCAAGCAAGTGTCATAAAATGCACTCACACACAAAACTTGAATCTGTATAAAGAGCAATGCCCATGCAAGTACACCAGGATCAAAGGTGTTCTGCTGGCTTCTCTGTTGGTGGACCAGTTCCTTCAGTCAAGTGGCACAGATTCTTGTCGCCATTGGATAGGAAGTGCTAACCAGCATCAACATTCTGGGACAGATGCAGCGATAAGGCATGGTTCTGGTTTGATCCAGCCACACAGCAGCTCTCAGTAGCTCTTTCAGCATGTCCTCTGTGGCTACAACAGCAGGCAGCAAGAAACTAGTGCTGGCTGTGCGCAGTCACGAAAAATTTCCGAGTTTCACACACAATGTGCTTGGACAATTCAAGCCTTGTTAGCCACATGGTGGTTATCATGTTCACACTGCAATCAGCGATTGCCCTGTACACCCACCAAATGCCAAATCAGCGTGAAAGGACATAAGAGTGTATCTGCTGCTGGATTGCCAGGGAAGCCTGCACCAAAGTAGAAATTTTTGTCCCTACATCTGGCCAGCGATGGCGGGATTCGGGAGTGTTCACGAACGACTGGCAAGGATGTGCCTGTGCAGCTCGTTATGGATCATGCCTGGCTAGGCGATAGTTGGTGTTTGGCAATGTGGGACGTTGCCAAAGGATTACTGCTCCCTTGAGGTGGTGTCCAGCCTTTCCCAGGTGTCCAGTAGAAAATCTGCTCTGGGACAATGCTCTGATCTTCCTGGTGTTGAATCACCCACTGCAGCACCTGCCGAACACCTGCAAAGCCGGGAGCCTGCCACTGGTTGAGTGTGAATCCAGGTGCCAAAGCTGCCAACTGCCAGAAAGGCCACACTTGGCACGGTGCACGAGTGGACGCAAGAGGGTCTCGAAGCAGCACATGCTGTGCACACCATTGTGGGGACTCTTGATAGTGACGCATCTTGATAAGATGCCAGATGGCATCGTCAGCTCTGCAGGTTTACCTTTCATTACCTCACATGGGGTAAGCCAATGCTTTGCTGTTATGCGACCAGTAGGGTCAAAGAGAAATTTCTTGCCATGCACTTGTCTCATTGATGGGCAATTCTGTTGAGGGTTGTAGAGATTGGAGAATCATCAGGCAAAGGCAGGTCTACGTTTTCCACTTCGGTCAGTTTGTGCCCAACATGAACAAACCATGGCCCATCCAACATAAAGGGTGCACAGGGCAACTTATTGACGAAGGGACTTTCTTTCCAGAGAGTGCATAATTGGAACACATGATCATCCTAACCAAACTGTGGGTGAATCACCGACACCAAGCACAGGATCTGTGTGAGACAATCACAATATTCTGGCCCCTGAGAACCGCACTTGCCTGGAATGAAGTCTGTATCCTCGTGGTCTGGGGAAGTGGATACTATCCGGATAAGTTGTGCATCGGGGAGGCTCAACCACCTCTCGAACTTCGCGAGACGCCAAAAATCCACCGCCGCGCAGTACCCAGGTACAGTCAACGTCCCCGCGAGGTGGTCGTACACCAACTCGGTCATTCTGTTGCACGATTGTACCCAAAACCGAGCTCTGCTTTCTACTTGCCACGGGCCCTTGTCCTCAAATGTGCACCTCATAGCCGTGCCTGACTGGCAATCCACGGCGAGAGAACTGGCAATTGGCCAGCCATCGGCGCCAGTATTTCGGCGAGACACGCAGGCCAGCAAGATTTCTGCCTCGATGTCCTGCGCCCCGTGGAGGTAAGACAGTATGGCCGCCGCCACACAGGCGCCTTCCCCGTCTGCATCCTGGGCAAACACACCACCATGTATCGCACCAGACCACCGCCAAACGCTTCCCCTCTACCCCTTTGTTTCATCTCATTACAAGCTCATCGATAAAAAAAATGCACGACCGGCGTTCGCGAAAAGCGCCCACGGGCTCATCAGTTACGGCGCCAAGAAGACGGCGAAGCAATTGCGCCACCGATTCAGCAACCTTGTCGGTCGTGGCCGCGAGGAGTAGAAAGGAGTCCTCCCTCAGCAGTTGACCTCCTGCAAATGCCCTGTTCACCTGATAGGCACCCACGAGGTACACCCGGGGCCTCCTCATGCCTCGAATCCACGCCTTGATGCCTTCCGAGCTCCGCTTGCAGGAATCGTCGAAATGGCCAACGGAAGCCAACTCGGACGATCGGCAGATGGCCACGGCGATGACGCAGGTGGTCGCCTCGCTAGAGCCCAGCCACAGTCCCGCCGTACCAGCCCGGAGATCCGTGCAACAGAACTCGCCCTGTGCGACGTGAATGCACCTCCGGCTACTGTCGACGACAACCTGAGGCCCGGAGAGGAAGGCGTCAACAGCCGCACCCACCGAAGGGTCCGCCGTCACCGCGGCAATGACATCGGGGCAGTCCGCAGCCACGGGCGGCTGGACAAGCATGTTGAGCTCCCCAAGTCGCCGTCGCCACGGAGCGAACCCTGGACACTGGGCGCGGGAGGCGGTTTGGCTGTCGCCGGGCCGCGGGGGCGAGTAGGTGGGCTGCCCGTACCCCCCCGGGATGTGGCCTTGGGAGGGTCGGAGTGTGAAGCTGCTGCAAGGGGCCGGACGCTGCGGGGAACCCGAGGAATCAGGGAGCAAGCCTTCGAAATGGCGCTGGGTGCGTGCTGCCACGTTGGACACGATCCCCGTTCTCGTTGCTGGCAGGCGGCCATCGGTCGAGGCAGTGATATTTGCAGGTTGCCATGGCCATAGCAGGCAAGCCGGGGTCACAGCCAAAAAATCGCTCGCCCCCAACGCATCGGTGTGCGATTAGGGAAGGTAGCATGTTGCAAATTGTATGCTTGGCGCTAAATGGACGCCAAGGGGGAGGGGTACAGGGCGTGGACGCTAAGAGGCAGCATAATTTGCATAGTTGTGCTGAACTCCGTTTAAGGCAGGAAGAGGCCAAAATGGCCCTCACGGGTGCGCGAAAAACAACGTTCGCGTTCTCTTCGATGCCTGTGATTGCGCCCATGTCAGGCACTACGGCTTTGGCGGTGCTCGGGTCACCAATAATGAGCCCATTATGGCTCAATAATGCGCCAGTCAGTTGCGTCAAGCTGGTGCCCCGTGAGGCCCAGAGTGCACCGGCATGGGACTCCCGTATGGGGGAGCCGTGGCCAGGCGGGAAGGAATCGTATGCGCATCCAAGCTACTAGGACAGTGTCG